TTGTCTTTTTATTATTGAATTGCAACAGTTCTTTATACATTGTAGATACAAATGCTTTACCAGATGATGATTTGTGAATATTTTCTCCTATCCTGTGGGCTATCTTTTCACTTTCTTGATGGTATGCTTTGAAGCGCAAGTTTTAATTTTAATGAAATTCAATTTATCCAGTTTTCTTTTCTTGCTTGTGCTTTTGATACCATTGCTAAGAAACCACTGCCTAATCCAATGTCACAGGTTTTTTAGAAGTGTTACCAGAGTTAAACCCAAAGCTTTCAAGCTCTAGCCCCAGCCCTTCATATCTTCACTTTGAGACATTAAGTCACTATGTGTCACTATGTTGCAAGTCACTCTTGGGGTCGAACTTGTGATCCTCCTATAGGTCTTTAATACATGCGGCTACTTTTACATAACGTATTGAGGTAGGTATTATTTTTAAATGATATTTTAAAAGTTAAAATTGGCTTAATACTTTTGTCTTCTTTATTTCCATATCTCGTTAACATTAGCCAGTATAAAGTGTACAATTCCAGGCTCTAAGAATTAGAATGTCTACGTTAGAATCCAAGCTCTGTTTTGTATGACCTTAAACAAGGTATCTGACCTCTTTAGGCCTCAATTTCCTACTCCGTAAAACCTTAAGATGAAAATTAAACACCTGTATGTATACTGGTTTACAAGCTTCCCACTCAGTAAGCCGTTCAGCTAAGTTCAACTATTAATTATTACCTTCCAAGTGGCACTTGAGTTCATTTATTCTCAATCGGTTCCAAAGGTTCTATCTTACCCAAGGCTACCATCATTTACTTACTTGGCTTACTAAATCTTATTCTTAAGTGATTCCTCTACCTCTAAACTTGTTCTCTTCCAAATTCACTGTCTATTCTCAACCTATAACAACCACTATAAAATGCATACCTGACCATTTAAAAAAACAGTTCCATGGTGCTTCTAGGATATAATCCCAGTGTGCTAACAACTGAGCCATGGAGATTTTCAGGTGTGGCTGCTATTTACCTCTCTGATCTTGTCCCTTACTACCACCTCTACCTGGAACCACGACTTCTGCTTATCAGGAATCGGCCAGACACCATTTTCTCTGAAAAGCTTTTCTAGATGGTTTGATCCTCAGTTCAAGGATAAAAGCCCTTGCTACAGCACTATGTACTTTAACTGTCAACACACTCATTCCTTATACAGTGTTACATAATGAGCTACTTACAGCTCTGAGACACGGTGGGATGACAGTACTTCCACATCCCTACCTTCCCTAGTGAGCCCTATGCTGCCAGTCTCAGGGCAGATATATAACAAAGGTGTGGATGATGAATGGGCACATCATCGCGGTACTTTTTCCACTAGAGAAAACATACATAAGCAAAGCCACACCAGTCACTTCATGGAAAATTTCTCACGTTTAGAGTCTGATAGTTTCAACTAAACATGACCACTACTGTTTTAACAATTAAGATGCATATATGCCTCCTCTGTGGTTGGTTGTGAACATTCAGTAAAACAATTCAAGCAGTGAAGATGCTTGACATGTCATAGTATACAAAATTCAACCTAGATAAATTTATGTTTTACATCATGGAGTATTGGTACTTTTGCAGGGGTATGGGAATTGAACTCAGGTCCTCATGCTTGCCAGGCAGGCACTGTGCCACTGAGCTATATCCCTGGCCCCAAATTTATATTTTAATTTGCTCCTTTTTTTTGAGTTAACTTGCTGTATTTTTGAGTTCTTGCCTTCTCTGCAAAGTGACACTTTGGAATTGAGCAAGCATGAATTTCATGCATGCTCTAATAATATTAAACTTTCTAGGGGGAAGATTTTGGATGATTTTACTACTTGAAAATTGCTAATTTTTATGAAACAAAAAATTACATCTGCCAGGAGTGGTGGTGCATCCCTGTATGTATACCTAGTACTTTGGGAGGCTGAGGCAGGACTGCACGCTATAACAGCCTGGACAATTTAGCAAGCATCTGTTTTAAAGTAAAAATTAAAAAAGGGAAGGGGAAGCAGTTTTGGTACAAAGACCCTGAATTCAGTATTCCCCCTATATCCATCCCGAAAATCACCTCAGAAACTTAACTCCTATAACTCATAACTTCACTCAATAAAACTCCATTTTAACTCTTACTCAGAGCAAAAATATGAACTAGGACTAAAAAATGAACATCTTTTAGAAATAAATATGAGTACATATTTACAGGTGAACTAGAAGGCAAAGGAGGATTCACCTGCCAAGCCATATAGGTCTTCAGTCTTTTCAAGATGAGGAAGGTTTGCTTTTTAATATTTTGATAGTTATTAGTCTATACAGATTTTTCATTTCATATTTTGTTAAGTTTACATTTCTATTTCTCCATAAATAAAATCAATTTGTATAGGTTTTAAAATGTACTAGTGTCTACAAAAGCAAAGCAGGAGGCATCACAATCACAGATCTGAAGTTATACCACAAAGTTATTGTGATAAAACAGCATGGTACTAGCACAAAAACCGGCATGTGGATCAATGGGACAGAATAGAGGAAGCAGAAACAAGCCTAGGCACATTCAGCTATTTCATTTTTGACAAAAGGGCCACAATCACGCTGGAGGAAGATAGCCTCTTTAATAAGTGGTGCCAGGAAAACTGGCTATCCACATGCAGAAGATGAGTCTAGACCCATCTCTCTCCCCATGTACTACAATAAAAGTAAAATGGATCAAAGATCTAACTATTAAAAGAGAAACACTTAATCTGCTAAAGATAAAATAGGTACAACTCTTGAAAACAGAGAACTCCAATGGCACAAGAAATAATATAAAAAAAACCAACAAACAGGATCATATCAAATTAAAAGCCTTTGCACAGCATAGGAAACAAATGACAAAACAGAAAAACCAATTTTGCCAGCTATTTCTCAAAAGACTAACATCTATAATACAGAACTAAAAAACTAGACCCTCCAAAATAAAAGACCCACTCAAAAAATGGGCAATCAAAATAGACTCTTCTCAGAAAAAGAAGTACAAATGGGCCATAAAAACATGAAAAAATGTTTAGCACTGCTGACCACTGAAAGAGTTACCGCTCTTTCAGAAATCAAAAAATAACAAATGCAGGCAAGTGTGTGAGGGAAAAGGAACCCTTCGCCCCTGTAGTTGGGAGTATAAACTAGTACAACCACTTTGGAAATTCATGTGGAGATTTCAAGAAAGTGCAAAAATAGAAATTCCACTTGACTGAGTTATTCCTCTTCTAGGAACCTTCTCAAAAGTGTTAAAATCATCATAGTACAGTGATACGTGCATACCTATGTTTACAGCAGCACAATTTATAACAGCTAGACCTTGGAAACAGTATAAATGTCCATCAACAGAGGAATGGATAAAGAGAACATGGTATTTATACATAATGGAGTACTACTCTGCCATAAACTTGAGGCAAATGGATACAACTTGAGAACATAATGTTAAGTGAAGTAAGTTAAGACACTCAAGTTTAAATATTGCATGACTTCTCTTATATGAGAAGTAGAGAGAGCTTTTTCAAATGATGAAATGAGAGATGGAGGGAAAGCAAGGAAAGGGAATGGAAAAAAAAAGAATTGAAAGGAAAAAACGTTGAAAATAACTTTTGCAAATGGGAAGGGGACCAAGAGTTGGAGGGAGTAAGGAGAGAGGAGAGTGGTAAGAGATAGAAAAATAAAAGAAGAATTAAGATGTCCTGTATCTATGTACCATCTCTCCATGACAAATGTAATCATGTACTGTGAACATATACTAACAAATAAATAAATGCTTTGGTATCTAATCATATTTTCAGATTAAAATATCTTGTATATGAGAGAATGCTACAGGAAACTACAGCTAATGTACAAATTTGTAGAGTCAAACTTGATCCTGAACAAATATTCTGAGACAAAATTAGTTTGAAAAAATATATATATCTTTACTCATACTTTCTATGGCAAACAATCCACATACACTGTACTTAGATACTACTGTCCTATAATACTTCCTGTAGAAGCAGTTGACAAACATCGTATATAAAGGGCCAAATAATAAATTTTTTAGGTTTTGTGGGTCAGATGGTCTCTGTTGTAAGTACTCAACAACACTGTTAAACCCAGAAAGGAGCCATGAACAATACATAGAGATTGAGAGTACTAAAACCTTGTTTACAAAAACAGGTAGCAGCTTCTTGGCTACTAAGCCACAGTTTGCCAAGTCCAGCCCCACAAGGTGATCGGAAAGTCACACAACTAAGCTTTCTCTCACCCCTCAGTGCTGAGTCTGGGCTCTCTCAATCCCAAAGTTTCACTTTTGGGACGTGAAAGATTCAATCACAGGACCTGAAATGTGTTCTCTCTTGCCATGGGATGCAAGCCAATCTCAACTCAGAGAGGTGCTCCCAGGGCACGCCACCGGAGTGGTTCCCAGGGCCCTATGTAAGGAATCAGAGCAATTGAAGGACTTTTCTCTCCCCAAAGACTTCACGAGGGAGTATTGCTATTCCCAATCTTCAGACGAGCAGACTGAAACTTGGGATAAGTTACTCACCCAGGACCTGTCCCAGAGCTAATGCTGCAGTCTCTTTATTAACCTGTCTCCAATATACTGAACCAATATGTAACCATGTATCCTGGAAGTCTTTTTTTTTTTGAGACAGGGTCTCGCTATGCAGTTCAGGCTGGCCTTGAGCTCACTTTGCAGCCCAGGCTGGTCTCAAAACTCTCAAGGATCCTCCTGCGTTAGCCTCCCGAGTGCTGGGATTACAGGTGTGCGCCACCACACCTGGCTCCTGAAAGTCTTATCTCAGGTCACCGAAGAAAAATATTATTTTGTCAGCTTAATGTTTTTTAATGAAGTATGTGAGTCAGTATTTACATTATTGTGTAAAGTATGTTTTGGGGCATTTTTTCCTAAATAATTACCTGCAATACAACAAATCACCAGAAAACAACAGATTCTTTTCCTGGATTTTGAGGCACCTGTGCTCCTACCTGACACTGGTTGATAGCTGCATGGTTACCATGGAATGGAGACTGTCTTTCTTTATCTCGGTGATGCCGACTGCTGTGTTTACTTCTCTGCAACTGCTGGCGTAATTTTGCAATCTAGAAAGGGGGAAAGTAAGTATGAAGAGTGTTTTTCACACAAAATAAAAACATATCCTTGCTTACTAAAAACAAATAAATCTCACCCTTAATAAATTCTTGAATATTTAAACCATATCACAAAACTTGATTTACTGTGCAAAGTTGTTACATATATATGCACACCTATACATATGGTAATGAACATGCATACTTCTTTATTGTAAAGAAAAATCTACCTCCCAACATTGTTCCCAGTCGTCAAATTTCCCAAGTACTAAACAAATGTTTTCAGCACTTAGAATAGGCTTTCAGAAACAATTAAAAACAATTACTTTCTCATTGTCCTTACCATAAGTTAACTTTTATTTATATTTAGGTTTTTTTATAGAAAACTAACCTTTCACAGATGAAAAATTACACAGCATTTGAAAATCTAGTCAAGTCATGAAATGTACTCACAGACATAAACTTCAATAACAAATGCAATTTCAATGATTATCTCATTGTCATCCCTTAACTGAGTCTGTCTCTTACATTTCTAAATTATGTGTAAAATGCAAGTATCATTTTTTTTTTTTTTTTTTTTGGTTTTTCTCCGGTACCGGGAACCGAACTCACGACCTTGCGCTTGCCAGGCAGGCGCTTTGCCGCTGAGCTAAATCCCCAGCCCGCAAGTATCATTTATTATAGGCACAGGAAGTAGTAATCACAGGGTACACCCATAATCAATCTGGTTATACTGAATTACCAAATTTCAGAAACATCATATACAGAAAAATAATAAATGTGCATCTATTGTATTACTATAATTTTATAATTCTGATGCTTATACTGTATTCACAAATATGGACTCTCCTGTCAAAGGGGAGAAAATGGATAAAACCCCTCACACAGTCAGGTAAGTAATGTGTACATTTCCCCATTCAAATCTTTATCAAATCAACACATAACTGCTTTTCTCTTGTTATCCTGGACACCTAAAAAAAAAATCCACAGAAAACAATGAATTGTTGCTGACTACAATTTCCAAGAAATAGTCAAATTTCCACTTTCCGGGAACACCTTTCTGACCTCCTTAAGTTGATCTGTGCTGCCCCAGGATGCTGAACGCTTGTGAGACCCTTTCTTTTTCTCAGCGTATTCTTCAGCCCAGGCACTCTCTGTCTACAACAGGAAAAAGGAGGAATATTTTAATAAAAATCATCTAATAACCTATGTCATATTCTTTCCTATTATAAAAAAAATTCTTATTAGAGAAAAATGAGATATTAGAATATATTTAAAATACCACAAATTACATACAATTTTCCCAGCACTGGTTAATTATAATTAATATTTTGACGTATTTTTATTTTTATTACTAATAAAGTTATTAATCAGTTGTAATATAACATTGTAGTTGTAATATAACATTGTAATATAACAAGTTGTAAATATAACATTCACTGAACAAAGTATAGAGATGCATGTTAATAACAACCAACATTCTTGCGCTTGTATTATATGTGAGGCACTGTTTTTTCTTATGCTGTATATGATTTAACAAATACAAGAAGTTCCACAAAATTTGCAGATAACAAAACTAGGTCAGTGAATGGTTAGATAAGTTGCCTAAGGTCTCAGGAGATAGGAAATAGGAATACAAAGAAAAAACTCTTAAGACTCCAGCCGTCACATCTTCTCCACACTATGTCTACTCTTGCTTGTATGCAGAGAAGAGCTCCCAAAATGTGCTGTCTTTAGTGGTTAAACTCAGAATTTAAAAAGGGTGTATTCAAGCAGAAAACACAAATGAATATTTGGCACCCAAAACATACTCTGTCAGGGACAATGATGCATTCCTGTCTTCCTGCATCCTCAAAAGGCCAAGGCACAAGGATTACTTGAGCCCACAAGTTTGAGACCAGCCTGGGCAACATAGTGAGACTCCATCTCAAAAGTCCAGTTAGAACTCTACCAGCCCGGGCTAGTTGATGACACGAGCTATACCTCTAGTGCCCCACGGAGTAAGTACAGCCTTTATGGAGTGGAATCTAGCAACTGGTATAAAGTCATAATCCACATACAGTTTGACACTGCAAACCCTTTTTTGGAAATTTATCCTGTAGATATACAAAATGTGTATATTTACATGCAAAAATGACCTGTTTGTATTATTCCATATAGCACTGTTCTTACAAGTAAAGGCACCAAATGATGTAAATAAATTGAATGTATTTAGGTTTGCCTATAAATTATGGTATATCTTTATAACTGCCACCAACTAATACAATTCTCAGGAGTGACTCCCATTTGTGCTTATGATTTCTCACCAGTTCTTCATGTCAGCTGTTAAATCTCTCTCACAAATCAGCCTATAAACAAAACTACAGAGGATAAAGTATCAAAATTAAACTAAAACCACAATCACAGTACTGATCTAATGCTAAAAATGTTTAAATCTTAAACAGTCTTGTTATCTGCAGCATAATGTGCATGAAGAGCCATTTCAGTGAAAGAGAGCCTCTTTAGCAAGTGGTGCTGGAAACTGGCTCTCCACAGGCGCAAGACTGAAGCTGGACTCATCTTTCTCACCACACACCGCACTAAAATCAAGATGGGTCAAAGGTCTAAACATTAAACCAGAAACAATCTGCTTGAAGACAAGGTGGGCAATACCCTTGAAGTCACAGATGTAGGCAAGGATTTTCTAAGCAGAAACCCAACTGTACATGAAACATCAAGAGTCAACAAATGGCTTCTGCACAGCAAAGAAAACAACCAACCAACGAGAAAACCTATAGGGTGGGAAAAGATTTTCCACAGCTACACTCGAGACAGAGGACTACTATCTAGACTATACAAATAATTTTTAAAAAATTAGATCCTCCGAATAAAAAGCCCAATCAAAAGTAGGCAAGTGAAATAGACACTTCAGAAAAAAAGAAATACAAATGGCTCATAAATACATGAAAAAAATGGTCAACATTGCTGTCCATCCAAAAAATGCAAAATAAAACAAAACTGAGACTTCATCTCACTCCAGAAAGAGTGGCAAACATCAAGAAATTAAACAGTAACAAATGCTGGCAAGGCTGTGATGACTAAACTAGCACAATCACTACGGCAATCAATACATAAACTTCAGAAAACTACAACTAGAAATTCCATTCCACCCAGCTAGTCCCATTCTAGGCACCTTCCTGAGTTAAAGCCGTCATATTACAGCAATACATGCACACTCATGTTTATAGCAACACAATTCATAACAGCTAAATCCTGGAATCAGCCTGTATGTCCTTCAACAGATGAACAGGTTAAAATGAGATACTTACACAAATGGAGTACTACTTTGCTATGAAGAATGATGAACTTGAACTATTTATAGGGAATTCAATGCACTATGAAAAAACGTTAAGTGAAATGACTGAGACACACAAACTTAAATACCATATGGTTTCTTTCATATGAGAAACCAAAATATAAATAATGAGCAAAACAAAGGAAAGAAAATGTGTTATTTATATACAATGGAGTACTACTCTGCCATAAAGATAAATTTTATTCATTTGTAAGAAAATAGGTGCGTCTTGAGACCAGAAGGTTAAGAGAAATAAATGGGCCACAAAGCTTAAGTATTTCATGGTTTCTCTATAAGAGAAACCCATACTATAAATAAAGAGCAAAATAAAAGAGTAAGAAACAGGAAGATAGAACTTTTGTAAAAGGGAAGGAGACCAAGAGATGGAGGGAAGCAGGGAAAGGTAGAGAAGAGGATTAAAAAGCAATTAACATGTGCCATATACATGTGCCAACACCACAAAATGAATATAGTCATTACATACTAGAAGCATTTATGAATTAAAAACCATCTGTTATATAACCCCTGTGTCATCTTGTAACAGGTTATCTTACATAAATTTTAATTTCTTTTTTTTTTTGAAACAGGGTCTCTGTATGTAGTACTGGATGTTGTTGAACTGACTGTGTCCCAGGTTGGCCTTGAAATCATGGTGATTCTCCTGCCTCGGCCTCCTAAGTGCTGGGATTATAGGTGTGTACCTAAATGAAAAATTTCTCCATTTTTAAAGAGGAATAATGTTATATACCTATTTGACTATGTAAACAGTTTAATTTTTAAGATGTTAGTAAGAACAAAATGATAAACATTAATTATTGTTTTCATTGTATTATGCCAAAGAGTTACAAAGTATATGATCATAGAAATACAGGGAAGAATGTCAAGAATTCTTTGATATAAAAATGTGGCTGAGTCATAATTTTGCTTAAAAATAAAGAGTCAGGATAGAAACAGTAAGTTTTATAAAAAGTTGTGAGTTGTAATCAAATGTGAATGATAACAAGACTTTCTAAATACTGTAAATGGCAAAAAACAAGGCCTGATTTTGAGAGTCGGCTACAGGCCAGGATGTCTTTGAAAGCCAAACCAAGAAGGATAAGATTTCGAATGTTTTCTATTTGTAATGTGTTTAAATGTCTGTGGACATTGTCTTTATACTTCAAAACCAAAAATAAATAACTCCACCTATTTTTTGCTACTATGTATATTAAACTTTGGGCTAAAATCATGGTAAAGAGCTACTCTGTAGGTGTAAATCCAAATTCAAGAATTGTTTAAAATTTCATAGTAGTATCTCAGGCTTTATAGTTCAGTATTTAACTTGTATCTTACTTGCTGAGGTTCTCAATATAGGTTGGGGAAACTGGTTTATATCTCTCTATATAAGAAGGAAGGGGGAAAACCTCTTGGCAATAAGGGACCATCTGCACAGATAGAATAATCCCCTTATTAAGTAAAAAAGGAAGCTGCAGAAGAATGTCTGAAATATGGTATCCTGGGGGAGTCACCTTTTCCTACTTTTCATTTTTCCATTTTCTCCATGAAAATAAACTGATTTAGGCAGGGATCATTAATTCAAGGGTCCTTTCACCTTCAGCCTTCTCAAGTGCTGGGATTCGGGGCTGGTGCTACCATGCCCAGTTAAATATTTCCAAGTTTTTACCTAAACTTTTAAAAGTTGACTTAATTAACTAGCAACATCTGTCAATAAGGAATTTGAGAACTTCTGATTAATTGTGTTAATGCTAACTTCATTTAATGAAAATGAGGGCTCACTATGTAACTGAAAGACTGGAATATCCAGCAATATGGTACTACCCTTTGGATTTTACATACAAGCTTTATAAGCAAGATTAAAAGTATGGTAATTATTTACTTTCTTTGTATTTATACCCATAACATTGAGAAAATGAAGACAGCTTATACTTCAATATTGCCAGATCCAGGTCATAGTAACTTGATAAAAGACTTGAGTGTTTTCACAGATCAAAGGCTCCCAATGTTCTTATTAATGTGACAAAATATCTGAACCCACAGGGCCAGGGGTATAGCTCAGTGGCACAGCGCCAGCCTGGTAAATGCAAGGTCCTGAGTTCAATTCCTGGTACCAAAAAAAAAAAATCTGAACCCACAGACTCTGAAACCAGAGGAAAAATAAAGAGCACTGTAGCAAAGCTCAAAAAAATAAACCCATGTACGTGTATATCTGACATGTGGTTAAGCAGAAGGCAAGGAGAAACTCTACTAATTTTCCCTATGATTTTGCCTTAAGCAAAAGCATAGCTGCAGATTTTGAATGAAGAGTTCTGCAGAACTCTCTGATTTAAAAAGTCCCAATTTCAGAAAAAGCTCATTGCTTACAATGACTATGGGCTCACTGCACTTCCATTTTTGCAGTAGCGCTCTAGAGAACTAACCCCAAGGTAATCCTAAATCCCAACTATCTAGCCTAGTAGGAAGACCCAGTTTCAAGAGTATCAGAACAGAAAACTAAAGTCTGCCAAGAACACCTGGAATGCTAACATTCAGGCCCCGAGCCACCACACTCTGCGTTTACTTACCTCTGTAAAAGGACATTCTCTCAAAAAGTGCTGGGATCAAGCACCCAATAATAACATAATCTGAAGTCTAAGTAGAGATGCATCTTAGTTATTTTAAAAAACAGACATAAAAAATCTTCATTTTTTTTTCATTAGCAATAAAGTTGTAATTGTTTTGCTTGTGCATTCCTTTGCAAGTATTCTGTGAGCATTTATTGCCAAGTACAGAACTAAGTCCTGGGGCTGGAAACACAGCAATGGCTATACCAAACATAGTTCCTATCTTCATGGGACTCAATGTCTTGCAAATACGAATAAATGATTCTATGATTCTACAAATATGGAATTACAATTCTGGTTGGTGCTACAAGAGACACCAGACTAACATGTAGTCATCAACAGCCTGTGTGATCTTGGACCTCAGCCTCTTTATCAGTAGGCCTAGGAGGTAGAGCTGAATGATTCCTTAAGATCCTTTTATATTTTACTATTTATTTTAGTAGTACTGGGAATTGAACCCAGGGCCTTTGCACTGAGCTATTCCCCAACCTTTTTAAAATAAACATGTTTTTATTTTCAGACAGGGTCTTGTAAGTCACTGAACTTTCCATGAACCTCCAGCCTCAGACTCCTGGAGTGCTGCGATCACTGGTGTGCACAACACCCAGCTCAAGCTCCCTTTAAAAACTGTATATATCTAACAGTACAAAACTTCATTTCTGGAGTCTCTGGTCAAAATATTTATATTAACAGAATCTATTTAGCAATGGACTACCACTTCCCAATACATGAATATTTTTGACACAAGAATATAAGGGTAAATAGCAAAGTAATCTTCACTGTTAGAAATTTTAAGTCCAAATTCCAAGTTAAAAATACTGTACTGTTCTTTAAAAATACTGTAATGCTCTAAACTAATTTATAAAGAATAAGTGAAAGAATGCATATGCACAAATTATCCACATGTATCAGAATTATGCTGAGAACTTATAAACATGTACCTTTCCAGGCCCTATCCAAGACCCAGACAGACTGAGGCAAGGCCCGGGCATGCACTGTGGAGAACTTCTGAGGAAATTCCAATGCACGCTATGCTTCAGGAACCCAGGCACAGGACAGAGCAAATAGTATGAGAAAGTGCTACAAGCAAAATGCTGTAGGCGAGGGGTAGAATAAACCTACTTGTGTGGCTTTGTCCCGCATGCAGGGCACGACTTGCGTGTGGCTGTCCCGAGGCCAGTGCCCAGCGAGATACGGAGCTGCCAGCGTATCCAGGGAGGACGTGCGGCGGATACTGCTGGAGGGGCTACAGGGAGGCAGTCGGGCTTTGTCACCTAGACGTAAGGCAAAAAAGTTAAATTTTAAAAATAGTTGAAGAAGAAAACAAAGTAGAAACTGAGTTCTATACTACATAGAAGTTTTCCAACTTAAACACATAAAAATAATAAAAATAAATATGCTAATGCGCAAAGCTGTCCCATCTCCAGCAAGGAAAAAGGTGTGGATGCACACGCCTGGAAGAATCTCTGGAATTACACTGAGTGAAACCAGTCAATCCCAAATGCTTACATAGTATGATTTCATCTACATAACACTTTCGAAATAACAGAACTGTAGAAACGGAGGAATGATTAGTATTGGTAGGGAGAAGTTCGGCAACTTAACAAAGGAAAGCATCACTGAAGAGGAACCTCTGGCAGGGTAGCGGGCAGTGCATGCTCAGCGCAGGGGAGATCCCGGGTTCGACGTAAGAGCGTATACTGGGCACAGCGGTGCACACCTGTAGTCCCAGCACTCGGGACGCTGAGGCAGGGTCAGGGCCTGCCTGGGCAACCTAGCAAGAGCCTGTCTCAAAATACAAAACTTAAAAGCAGGGGATGCAGCACAGAGGGCAGGGGAGGGAAAGGCAGGGAAAAAGAAAAGGAAAACAAGCACACTGTTCCTACCTGCAAACTTTCCATGGAATTAGCTTTCTTAAAGTAAGACCAAAGTTTTTATAAATACGGAGGGGAAGCAGGGTTGAAGGGAGGGGAGGGGAATGAGGGGAATGAGGAAAAGAAGAATCAAGATAGATCATGACAGGTAGAAACTCCCTGTGATGAGTGTGATCAATATATAAACCTAAAGTGCACCAATAAAATTAATTTTTAAAAGTTTGTAAAACAGTTATAGTCACTCCTCAGTCAATTAAAAAAAAAAGCTTACCAAAACTTACTGAATTATGCACTTATCTGGAAAGCATTACCCACTATACTATGACCTTTAAAGTTATTCACCAGAGTAAGACCTCACGATTTCCAAGTTCCACGCGCTCTGAGCCCCACAGTCCAGAGCCCTTGCGGCTCAGCCTCGCATCACCAGGATGCTAAGGCAGCGTCTGCAGGGACCCTAAAGAAGGACCCAGAGTGCAGAAACAGGCAGGCAGGCAGGACGCCTGACAGACAAAAAAAGTGAAAGAACTTCTGAAATAAATACTTTAAACTAAAATTAGTTTCAGTATCTACTAAAATTAAAACTCAAAGGGTGGGTTGAACAAGATTAAGTACAGCTTCAAAGGGAATTCATGAACTGAAAATATAAATCACTTAGAAAAGCAACACAAAGGGATGAGATGGAAAACAGGAAAAGAAAAAGACGGAAGCGAGAATGGACAAGAAAAGCACTGAAGCACCTCCTAACAACATGAGAACTGAGATTCTAAAAGTCTATGTCAGTGTTAACAGAATCATTCAGCATTCTTGTTAACAACGTACACTCGTATCCTGCATGATGGTGGAGTAGGAGCCGGCAGTAAATCACAGCTTCCACAAATCTGGAATCTGGAATTGAGACATCTGGAAAGCTACTTAGCAAGGAGAAAGATGAAGAGCTGTGGGACTCAGGAAAGCCAGCCGGAAAGCTAAAAACCACAGAGAAATGAAGACAACACAGAGAAAAGAAAACCAATGTGGACTGCTAAGCCCAGCTCCGGGGTGGAGAGGAAACGCAGCTCTGACCAGCAGCCTTTTAGTTTACAGTTTATACTGTCATTACGAACGAGGCACCCCTGTCACTTTTAACTGGTCATTACTGTATGTCAATATATGATTTGCCTTTGTGTCTACTTACTGTAGCTGATTCCTTTTCTATTGTTAATAATGGAACAATTCTTGCTTTTAATTGATTTTTACTATATGTTGATACCTGGTTTGTCCCTGTGTCAACTGACAAAGTGAACCAACCGACAGCCTGCAGAATGGAGGAAAATCTTTGCTAGCTACTCCTCTTACAGAGGATTAATAGCTAGAACATACAGAGAACTCAAACACCAGCACCAAAAGATCAAAAACAAACAATAAATGGGTAAATGAATTGAATAAACATCTCAAAAGAGGTACAGGTACAAGAGGCCACTGATATGAAAAAATGTTTCACATATTTAGCCATTAGGGAAATGCAAATGAAAGCTGAGATTCCATCTCACACTAGTCAGAATGGTTATCAAGAATAGAGTTGGGTGCAAAACAAACTGGACAAAAATCGAATCCAATTTCCCCATAAGGTCAACACTGACCCTAATTATGGAATTTAATTCGGTTCTCATCCAACATGGTTTGAGATCAGAATCATGGAGAAAATCAAGTTGGTGAACCAAAGTACCACTGTGCAAACAAGTCAGATGTGGTAGTGCATGCCTATAATTCTAGCACTCAGGAAGCTGAGCCAGGAGGATCCCCTTCAGTCTGAGGACAGCCTGAGCTACGTAACGACATCAAAGTTACCCTAAACTACATAGTGAGACCCTACCTCAAAAAACCCAAAATAAAACAAAAACAGTATGTAAAATCTCACTATAGAGGGTATTAAAAGATTAACATTTCCAGTTGATTTTATGATACAGAACACTAACTCTGAAACAAAGTAAAATGTTACCCCTCTAAAAAGAATTCCTTCTTCTCAAAACTGTATTATAAAATATGTATATTATCACCATATTTTAAAATATCAATAAAAAATGTGTGAAAAATCATTTTCTCTCTTGTTATGTAAGTACCTATGTAACAGTTTTAGATTCTGCCTCTTTACCTGCGGAGATTAACACTTTGCTGTCTGGTTCCTTACAGGGAAAGTCTGCTGACCCTTTCTTACCGGCAGGGTCTTGGTTTCTGCTAGGACCCGCTCTATCCCCTCCTCGAAGTGTCTCCCCAAGTGTCTCCCCTCTCCTTGAGAGAGAATGGAGTAAGCTTAGCTCATTTATACCTAACTTTGACATGGCTTTAAAAAGATTAAAAATTTTTTAAAGGAGGTCTGTTACCCTGGTTGGTCTTGATGTCCTGGGCTCAAGTGATCCTGCTGTCTCAGCTTCCCCAGTGTTGAGACTACAGGCAAGCACCACCACACGTGGCTTTAAAATACTAAAAATATGCGTAAGATCCTATTACTAATACTATCATTCAAGTTCTGTATAATGGCAAATACTTCGCTCTTCTTATGTTAAGAGCCATATACGGATGAGAACACTTTTTATACCTCTCCTCTAACTGCATTACATTATTGTCTTAAGAAGAGTAAATTCAGTTCCTGGTTATGTGATCCACGTAACAAGGTTCAATTTCACTAAGATAATATTTACTGCAGCTGTGTTGCAGATAAAAGCTGCTTCACAGATATGCCTCAGATTCATAATTTGCTTTCAAAGTGGCACTAATATTTCATGAAAACAATGCCCATTTGTTATAAATGCTAACCAGCTCTCTAGTCTTCCTTTTATAGTGTATTCTTGTTCAACAGAACAGAAACACAGGCAGTACAGACCCCTAAGTTCAAGAATGCATGTACCCAAATGATGAGAAATGAAAAGCTTAGTAAATATACAATATGTTCACAAAATTTCTTCCAGCTAAAAAGCAACCCCTACTAGGTCACAAGAAGACTGTCCTCACCTGGGCTAGGGCCACATAACACATTCATCAAAATCCAATTGCTAAAAAAACACCTGGCATTTTCTTCCCCAACTATGAGCAAGCATAGGTCCAACTATGAGCTGTTGCTTTAGGTCCTTGCCAGCACACCCAACAAACCTACCTCACTAACAGCTCTGATCTCACCAAACCCCCAAGATCATCAGAATTATTATCATTATTATTTCTATAAACACCTGGAGAACAGAAGAGTTACACAGTGGCAAGTAAAAGCACTAAACATCTGTTCTGAGTGGCCTTCTCGGACGCCATTCCCTAAGCAGATACTGAGGGCCCAGAGTCACCATGGCACCCAGTAAGTACAGAACAGGTCATAGCCTGCCCTGAAGAACAGCCTGCCACCTGGCTCGTCTTTACTCCACTCCCACCCAAGTTCCCAGAATGGACAGGTGTGGTGCCCTGGTTATGACAGAAATTCCTGAAGGGAAAGGAACCCTAAAGAGGCCAAGATGACTCCAATATTCCTAGTTTCTGTAAAGAGACTGGGTGGTAGGGAAAGGGTCTCAAAAAGTCACAAGCTGCCCACCAGGCTGGCTTGAACCTGTGTTCCTCCTGACTCAGCCTCCAGTGTGCTGAATCACAGATGTGCACCACAAGGAAGTGTTCAGCCCCAGGGAAGACCCTGACAGGTGATGAGACCTTCATGACCTGGCGCCTTCAGCCTCACTTTGTGCCCGCTGTCTTCATCCCCACCAAACCCGCAGAGCTGCAATTCCAGCACTGTGCCCTGGTGCACCTCTAGGTCTTCGTCCCTCTTAGGTCACCCGCAGAGCCCTTCCCTGGTTTGGCCAACTTGTGCTGAACCTCTCACAATCCAATTCAGATGTCACTCCCTCTGCTAATCTTCTCTGAACAGCCATCCAAGCCCAAAAAACACACTGTGTGCTCTTAAAGCACTCTTGCAGCATGGCTCGCTGAAAAGGTCCTTCCACTTCCTGTGCCCCACTTCCAAGTGGGACTTTGCAGGGCATCAATGGTACCCCCCTGCCTTCACAGTGATCGGACTGCACTAACACATAAGGTTTTGTGTTGGTTTTTGTGGATAATAGGAAATACAGTCGTAAGTGTTTTCTTAAGTGGCCAATAAAAAACTTAGTCTTCTTGGTTAACCAAGCAATCATTTACCCTCACTGAGGTGGACTAGAAAAGAGAGCAGAAGAGAATGACTTCTGTTACTGTCTTCCATCAACAGGGACAGGCATGTGCAGTATATTCAGATGCTCTATTAACTCAAAGCGAACAGAAACAGGCTCAAACTTGATGTTTACAAGTCAAGCCTGTAGAGTCTGAGCTATGTGAGTTCAAGGCCAGCCTAGATGACATAATGAGGCCTTGTAGAGAGGTTGATTACACACCGCAGGGTGTGGAACAAG